CAAACGTTTGTTTTTCTAATGTGCACCGGTTTTGTGTGTGTATTGCGTAACTTTGCAGCAAAGAAAATAAATATTAGCTACGGAATCATTTTACTGTCATCTGTTAATATAGATAAAAAATGCAATAGGGATGGGACTCACTCGATTCCCTCCCTTTGATCTTCTTAACGTTTGTCAACATGTCTGTCACTAGTAAAGGGTATGCATTTTTTATCTTTATCTTTACTTATCATAGAGCAACTAGACGTGACTCCGACTTAGGTACCTACTTGGAAATTTTCCAAACCCCATGAAGATGCTGTTTGGTGAAAATGTTGGACGACTTACCTACACTTAAATAAAAACATTTATAAAATACCGGAATGAAAACTCTAGCTCTGTTTTTATTCACTGTAAGCTCTATTTTCATAAACAGAATTCACTATAGTTTCACGTCGCGCATATTATGAAACTCTAATAACATGTACCTATAAATATGTTTCCCTTAATAAAGTCATCATTATCATAACACTTGTATATTATACAGTATAGTAAAAAATAACTTTTCATTTCATTATTATGTAGATGTGAACGAGCAAAGCTTTACATAAAAACCCGGGGAAGCCATTTTGTTTCCTTCACACTCAAGCAGCGGCAAAATAATAACGTTTCCGTTCATAATCTACATAAGGGAAATACAGTTGTGTGGAAAAATTAAGGCACTTTCAGCTCTGCAGTTAAAAATATAAAGCTCAAGGAACTTAATTGGACTGTAAAATGCCTGGCATTTTATTTTGTGTAGAAACTAAAAATATGAGACATTTATTATACAAAACAAATTAGAAATGGAAGTAAATTTTATTTGCCAACTAAGGCTGGGTTGCACCATATTACTGTAACTTTGACAAACGTCAAAAATCTGTCAAACTCCATACAAAAAGCACCGGTCATCGTCATAGTTACCGTTAAAGTTAGGTGGTGCAAGTCAGCCTAAATGTTAACATTTATCTCTTAAAACCTATTCTTCGTTTCCAAATATTTCAATAAATAATAATAAGCGTCCTATTATTTTGACGTAGCGAATGACAGTGACATATCAAAAAATATCAGTTTCCATCGTCAATTTGCAACTCGAGAAACTTTTTCGTATTTCATCGATACTATTTACGAACTGTCTAGACTCTTTTTTGCAGACAACTGACTATTCAGATTTTATCTGCGAACAGAAAATCGAGGATTTAAATTCTAAACTTTCTGCCCTTTTTGCGTCCAACTGTACTGACGTACATACATAATTAATTGGTAATTTATTCGAGGCTCTATTATTGTAAGCAAAGAAATAACACTATATGCCCGCGTCTGTGTTTGTAAAATTATTGTATGACTAATTAATCATTTCGAGTAATGTAAGTTAGATAATTTTAGATAGTAACTGAGCTTCTGGCGCTGCTTCTTTTCAGCACTGGCCTATATTGTCTTAGGCAGTGGTAGGGTTGGGCCGTATGAATGTGCCCTTTAAATGCCTAGTAATGAATCAATTTTGTGAATTTAATTTTATAAAGGCATGAGAATGCATCTTCACATCGCATTTAAGAAGCATCCCTACTAATAAGTTACTGAAAAATATTTAAATTGGCAGTTATCTGCAATGACTAGATATAGGCAGAGAAAGCAGCAATTGCGCTTACGCCAGTATTTCAATGTTAAAACTTGAAGCTTTACATTTTACATGCCAATAATAATATCGACGTTAATGGAAAAATAAGAGCCTAGTTATTAAATCAAAAAGAAGATCTTGTATATGGAAAAATTCTCCTCTGATATCTCGTTGATGAAATAAAAACAAACCAGAACGCAGATTTGTTTTAGTAATGAGCTTTTCTCATAAGAAAACGAAGCAAAAATTCCTAGCATAAATTTATACAGAATCCTGTATTTATTTTACCTTAACCCAATGCAATAAGGTCGTCAATTGCGCGGAACTTTGTTACAGGCCGCTGTTACAGTTTTGGGCGTTACAAAGGCGCAGTTAAGTCAATTTTCGCCTTGCAAATAACATTTGGAATTCAATATAAGGAAGTATTACAATGTTCGCGAGTACATTTAACTAAGTTTAATGTTTTCTGTATATTAAAGGAGTATAAGAGATGATTAGAGAGAAAAGTATGAAGCTGACACGTGCCTTTCTTCTTACAAAGATCCACTCATTTTACTATGTTATATTGATACATTATTCAATAGAATAGATAGAGTGGCGACCACGGGCTGGAACACGTAGCGTGGGCAGGCCTCCTACTAGGTGGACCGACGATCTGGTGAAGGTCGCGGGAAGAGCCTGGACGCGGGCAGCGCAGGACCGTTCATTGAGGAAAACCTTGGGGGAGGCCTTTGTCCAGCAGTGGACGTCATTTGGCTGAAACGACGACGACGACGACGATTCAATAGACGCAAATAGACTCATATGAAACCACTTACTTATATGGATGATCTGAACTACATACCTATGTTTGAAACAAATTACTTTTCCTTCCTATACCTGCGTTGTAAATAATGTCCCAATTTTAGCAGTCTGCTGCTTCATTCATTCTTCCTAAGCTACTAAGAATGTAGGTACAAAAAAACGTTAATTACTTGAAATTAAAATACTTACCAAATATTTAGACCTTATATTCAGAAGACCTACTTAACAACACAGTTTTAACCCTTAACTGGTATCGTAAATTGGACATACGTATCTGGTATCGTGGGGGCCGCGCGGCCCCCATACTATTTTTGCTTCTAGCAAGCATGTTTTACCTATATACTTGAATAAATGCTCATAAATGATAAATATCAGGCTCGTTCTATGTAATCATTTAGTTTTTATTTTATTAAATCTTCCTACTTATACTTCAAGACATTACATAATAGTAACAACTTTTTACGTAATATTTTTTTAACGTTACAAATATCTATGAAACCTATCGTTTAGAAAGTTATAACCAAAAATATTGTTATTTTAATTAATCCATAATAATGTGAACTTAATAATAAATAACGTTTAAATGTAATGTTTAATAAAAATAATAATTATTTTATATAAATAAAAACATAAATATTATGTTGACAAACATTAGCAGGTGCTGGTGGATATTCAGACCACTTGTATTTATTTTTTCATAGTAGCAGGATTGACTAGGTCCTATAACATCTTCATTTTCACTCTCTGAAGAAAAAACTTCAGAATCAGAATCAATTTCCTCAATATCGACAGAATATTGGTTATTGGGTCTTTACAATGACCTATAATTTTATTATCACTGTATTCTTCTTCTGGCATGCTACTAATCACGAATTTGGAATCAAACACTTTGTTCTAGGTATCTTCTATTGTTTTATCACTTAAAAGTCATCAATACTGCAAAAAAAAACAAAAAACAAATAAAAATTGCCATGAAAAGAAAACTAACGTAACTGGTATTGTGGGGGCCGCGCGGACCCCAACACGTGCATATCTTCGTCCTGGTGAATGATGCAGTGCTGAAACGCCTGCACCAGACGTGAGTAGCGCCGAAATGAGAATACCAAAAATTTTGGCTGCCCACGATGCGTAGCTTCTTAGAAATCAAAGAGAACTTCATGCGTGGGGGCCGCGCGGCCCCCACGATACCAGTTAAGGGTTAAATAAATTCCCACAAATTCTTTAAATTTGAAATAACTTGTAAAAATCTTTGAAAACTAAGCTAAAATAACGGTCTTACACCGACACGATTCGATCAACTGGCATGAATCACGGTCGCGGGCCAACTGTTCGCGAGCGCGTCATCATTCTTTGGGTGCGGTAAAAAATCTTCACCTACCCCCAATTCTTTAATATTTGTACCGATGGTACAGTCAGTCTGGTAAACTATACACAGTTCGTGTGCAGGTTGTTTTCAAACGTCTTAACATTACGATTTAGCACTCAGTAGCTTCCATGATTTAAATAGTGATTACGAGTTATAATTCACTCGTACCTATCATTTCGTCATAGGGCAGATAGTTTTTTTTGAAGGGACACGCGCTGGTAGCTTGAGGAGCTTTTCCAGCTTCACCGGGCAGAGTGGCGAGTACAGAAGGTACTCTAGCCGTTTGGCGATCGTCGGTGCGCGTGCCGACGAGGCCGAGTGTGGGCTTCGCTTAGCGAAGCCCAGGCTCGTCCGCGTCGGTCGCAGACCGACGTTCGCGATCGGGCCGTATCGAGCGCATAAGGCGCCCGATCAGTGGCGAACCCAACTAGAGGGTNGCTTCTAAGGGAAAATAAAAGACTGTGCGCTGGTGTGGTCGCCGTAATGGATCGAGCTGCGACAGCCTTTGGACGTTGACTGACGTCTACATTTGGAAGGGTTGTAGCGTGTTGCTAAGACGTGTAATTGACGATTGTGCTTGAGGAGAAAATTAAGGTTTAAGGTATTTGATCTTATTCTTGGTACAACGTTAACTTTTGTAAAGTGTGTTGTTAGCAAAATTTTCAAAATTCATAAATTTTTGAAAAATAAATTCCAAAATACGGATTATTATTGAAGTGTTTAAAGTTCTACCTACTGACAGTTCCATGGCGCTGCTTACAATTTACTTTTGTCTCAATTTCGACCATGTTGTGAGTTAAAACCTTTGTACTCATCTTTGTCAAATTGAATCTTAATTTAATAAAAACATCAAACAAATTCTGTACAAGTTGATGATAATTATAGGGAGATAACATACAATGACGCACAATTAAAAATTTGATTCTGTATACAGGTTGTTAGGTAAATGGGTATATGAGCCGACACTAGCACATGTTAACATGGGCATTTACCCATTTACCTAACACCCTGTAGTAATGGGTGGCCTAACTACGCAAAAGAACTCCAGTAGATGTCGTTTAATAAGTTTAAAAGCTCTATATTGCACACAACAGCTCATCAACAACATAAAAAAGCTAGGTATAAAATAAAATGAAAAAGATTTGCATAGTATTAATAACGTCGTTGTCATATTGGCGGAACACAGGCACTTACATTTCTGCATTAGGATGATTCATAGTTTTAATATCCTGAAACAAAGGAGGACTGAATTAGACATAAAAACAAAATAAACACAATACAGTTTGCATAAGCACCGGCTGCCTTTCTTTAATGAAACAGCGAATATGAGACTGAATCTGCAATGTTATTAAGTGAGAAATGGTTACCGTAAAAATAAGATTGGGCGTGAAAATAATAGCAATATTTAGTATTTCATAACGGTAAAAGAGTAACGCTCGTGTTCTCAATTTGCGAACACGATTCCTAAAAACATTCTCGTTTATAAAATAAAATGAAATAGATTTGCATAGTATTAATAATGTCGTTGTCATATTGGCGGAACACAGGCACTTACATTTCTGCATTAGGATGATTCATAGTTTTAATATCCTGAAACAAAGGAGGACTGAATTAGATATAAAAACAAAATAAACACAATAGAGTTTGCATAAGCACCGGCTGCCTTTGTATAATGAAACAGCGAATATGAGTCTGAATCTGCAATATTATTATGTGAGAAATGGTAACCGTAAAAAATAAGATTGGGCGTGAAAATAATAGCAATATTTAGTATTTAATAACAGTAAAAGAGTAACGCTCGTGTTCGCAAATTAAGAATGATTCCAAAAAACATTCTCGTTGATGTTCGGAGTTAATGTTTAAATATGAATATCAAGAACCCTATTTTCACTCATACTTGATAAAAAATCAAGCGTAAATTATTCAGTTAAATACAGACAGTCTCAATATTAGCATTCAATAAACACATACAAGATTAGTTTCGATTTCCTATGACCTACGGTTTTCTCTTTGTCCATGATTTCTACCTAGGCTTCCATAATTATAATTCAAAGTACAAGTTAGTTAAAATTAACGTTGTTTCTGTCAAAAATTGGCGAGTTTGGAATGCGCATGTGGATTATGTCATTCAAATGCCCCATAACACCCGTATTCAGAAACAATGCTTGCTTAAGTGAAGCAGCAACGCAATGCGAAGTCAAACGCACAAAGCTCTGTGTTTTTGGTAGGTTAGGTTTTTGGGACCCTGTGCGTCCACGAGCACTGTGAGACCTCATAGTAATGTACGAGCACTGTGAGACATCATAGTAATGTACAAGCACTGTGAGACCTCATACGGTCGTTAGTAGTCTTTGCAAGCATGCCACAGAATAAAAGACGATCACAATCACGACACAAGTTCTATTCAAAAAATGATTCCTCTGCTTCATCAGCAGACCTGAAATATTCAGTCGCCACTCCGTCAGTCAGCCGTATTTCACCCGGTATTATGGCGGAATCTCATTACCAGCCAATGAAACGCACGCTAGATCTCAGCATAAATCCGCGGATGATCAGCGAGAAAAGTGCTTAACATATGAAACGGTTGAAACTTGTTTGGTATTATATCTGTTAAGGTCGTTTTGAAATGCGGTAAATTTTCTGCGTTTTACGGTACGTGGCCTCCATTCCAGAACCTTGCTGCCCCATCGGCCGTCAGTTCTGAGTACTATGTGCCCTGCCCACTGCCACTTCAGCTTGCTAATCCGTCGGGCTATGTCAGCGACTTTAGTTCGTTTACGGATCTCCTCATTTCTGATTCGTCCACCCACAAGGTGGACCGATGACCTGATAAAGGTAGCAGGAAGGCGCTGGATGCAGGCCGCTACCAACCGTGCGATGTGGAAGTCATTGGGGGAGGCCTATGTTCAGCAGTGGACGTCCTGTGGCTGAAATGATGATGATGATGATGAAATTTTCTAGCTTTTTATTCTCTCATTTTTGGAGATGATTGGAAAAAGTAGAGATGGTCAAGATTTAGTGAAATCTATAAACAACACGGTGACAGGGACCTTCGAGAATTATAAATACGGACTTGAAAATAGTCCTCGTTTTGAAATTGGCACTATTATACAAATTAAAAATAAAGAGACTTGAAGCATATTTTTTCAACTTGTTGGGCTAACTGACTGTCTTAAAAAGTCAACAGTCAATCTTAAGGTATTATTTGAGTAAATGATAAACGCATGTTCTTTCAAATCAAATCAAATCAAATCAAAAATATTTATTCAGTGTAGACCACAAGTGGCACTTATGAACGTCAATAGAAAATAATAAAAAAAGAAAAGGTAGCCCTTTATATGGGCCCTTTCACTATCGATATATTCATACTACCTGTAGAGTTCAAAGGTACTAAAATCGAAACTCAGATTTTGAAAACTAAAATTCTAACATTTATTTCAACATTTATTTATTTAATGAGCAACATAATAAGCTTACAGAAAACCCAAAGCGCTTACATGTTTAAGCCACTTCCTTAGCGACTGTACCACTCGAAAGACGAATGCACTCTCCCACCAGAGATGAAGGTTCAAATTCGAATGAACCCACTCTCACAATAAGCGCTCATAGCGACGTTTTGACGCCGTCACCAAATGATTTATTCGGAATACCGTATTTTCGATGCGAAATAAAAATTATTTGCACGGAGGTAGGAAGATGGAAGTGACATATTGTGCGCGTTCCAAGTGTTATCTGAAGCGGTTTTTAAATATTTCCTGGATTTCAAGCGTGGGTGATATTGAAGGGAAGTTTTTTAAACTCGACTCCACTTTTGCAGGGAAAAATTTTGAGTATAGCGAATTCAAGACGTTTTTGTGACGTAGTCTAATCGGTCTGGAGAATTGGATAGCGTTACAAACGGAGTTTGAAAAGGAACTCTTTTTGTTTTGAACAGAAAACAAAGTTTTGTTGTTAAAAAACTTAACGTACAAACAATCAGCAGTAAAATTTTAAAGCTGAACCTAAGTAAATAATAATTAATTCAATCTCATCGACTGTCCTCGCTCATTTACGCCCGTATTCACAAACATTACTATGAGGTCTCACAGTGCGCATAAACGCACAGGGTGATACACGAACCAATCACAGAGCTCTATCTTTTCAACGCTGTGTGATCGATTTGCTGCTTCACTTAAGCAAGCATCGTTTGTGAATATGGGCGTTACTCTCTATTTTAATAATTTAAAGTCAATATACATTAACACATCTTTTCCAGTGGATTATAAGTCTACTACCAGCCCCACCCTCCGAGCAAACTTATTGCTTGCTTTCGCTGCAAACTCATGGGTCATGCGTTTTTTGGGCCATATCAGCTCAGTGCCGATCGCGTTTTGTTTTTCCGATTCCCCCTATCTTGTGTTCGGCCAGTTATAAGCCTTGATCACACTGGGGGAAACGGGGACTAGTTTTGTAAAGGGACGTATCTGTACGTACTTCTTTTATTTTTCCTGATTGCTCTACTGTTCTCGCTTCTCGTTTGTTTGGTTGGATTACTTGATCGCCAGTTGAAAATAATAATGTGGAAATGTTCTGGTCATTTTCGAACTAAGATGCTTGGAGTTTTGGATGTTTTATTTATTTATTTAAAACTTACATGCACATTAAACACAGTACTTAAGGCGGGCTTAATGTCATTCTGCATTCTCTTTAGTTTTATGTATAAGTAGTATAGAATATTCATATGAACTGAAACAAAATAACTTTGCGAGTTGCGACATTGCCAGTATCGATGCCGAATGACATGAATTAATGGAGCAGGGAGTGTGTCAAAGTCATAAGTATGTATCCATTATCTAGTCACAATGGTTATTAGCACTACTTAGTTACAGGCCCGTATTCACAAACATTACTATGAGATCTCATAGTGCGCGTGGACGCACAAGGTGACATACGAACCAATAAAAACTCATAAAACTCATTTATTTTTGCAAATAGGCTTTTAAAAAGCACTTTTACACGTCCCAGTATTAATCCTACCACTGCTTCGGGACAATAAAAGGGCCAGTGCTGAGAAGAAGCAGCGCAAGAAACTCAGTCACTATTTCAAGGGTTTACAGTCTTTAAAAGCACACGCCCGTATTCACAAACGATGCTTGCTTAAGTGAAGCAGCAAATCGACGCATAGCGTTGAATAGAGCTCTGTGATTGGTTCGCGTGTGACCCTGTGCGTCCACGCGTACTGTGAGACCTCATAGTAATGTTTGAAAAATAATAGAATACGGGCGTCAGTAGTTATTATGACATTTAAAGCATTTTTTCACGAGAAATCCTGTCATTAACCCACCAGTGTATCCCCCCGCTTTATTGTTTGTCAATATGTAAGCTCTCGATTGGATTACGGGGCGTTAAAACAAACGCGCGTTTAAAATCAGGGCGGCCATTTTGTGATTTTGCGCGCGGAGTTACAGCTGCGCTGAGTTTATTAACTTTGTATCGCAAATTATACGTGATACGAATAGTCCGATTTGCATTTTAATCACTTTTTCGTGTAGGACGTATTATGATCGAATCGTTTTTATCGATATTATTGACGAAACTTACGCCCGTATTCACAAACATTACTATGAGGTCTCACAGTGCGCGTGGATGAACAGTGACACACGAACCAATTACACGCCCGTATTTACAAACGATGCTTGCTTAAGTAAAGCAGTAAATCGAACGCACAGCGTTGAATAGAGCTCTGTGATTGGTTCATATGTCACTCTGTGTGTCCACGCGCACTGTGAGACGGGCGACAGATCTCAATTCAACGCTGTGCGTTCGATTTGCTGCTTCACTTAAGCTAGCATCGTTTGTGAATACGGGCGTTACTCATTATTGCTCTACTAGATGTAGGCTGTAATGATGATTGTGAATGACAAACTACGCTATTTATTGATTTCATATTTGGTACTAGCNCCGTGACTGTACCTAAATACAAATTTATAATTAATATTTAGAAGTGTATGGCATCGGCGGTATTGTAGTATATTTACGTCTTGTAGGTAAACGCTTTCTGAATAACAAGATAATAATACTACAGTCTAAAGAAAGGCACTTTTGACATACTCGTATATGTACCTGCTAATAATATTCTAAACACCTGTCAATATGTCAAACTTATTCTACGCACAGCAGTTGTCTGAAAATATCTAGTTTCTACCATCTCAATAAAATACAAAAGCTTTATGATTCTCGTGCTATCATAAATCAGTCAACTATTAAATACATGGCAAGAAAGTATTGAGTTTTTTATATTCGTTGCAAAGTTTTAACTGTGTTTTTTCTTTATATTTCATCGAAAGCTGACGATCATTTTATTTTAAACCTTGGACGTGCATGGCGTGAATACTTTTGTTTTTGAATTTTTCATCGGAAATCTGCTACATTTATAAGCCTGGGATTTCGAGTAATGTCAGTATTTGATTTTCATTTCTGTTTTTACCGACGTGATTAAGTATATTGTATAATAAAGTTTGAAGAAAAAGCTTGTATAGTCAAGCGGGGAGTCTCTAGTTCTCATAATATAGACTTTCACATCAGCTGGGCTAAGATGCGTGCCGTGTTAA